AAAAAAAAAAAAAAAAGAAGAAGAAATTCTGGCCTCAAGTGACCTCCCACCTTGGCTGTCCCAGGTGTGAGGATTACAGGTGTGAGTCACCACACCCAGCCAAGAATTACTATAACTTTATATTTGATTGAATCATATAACATTGCCATTTTTGTAGGTCAAAAATGGCCAAATAATAGCATTTTCATCACTGGTTAATCTTTTAATTTATAGCTTCTGAAGTATTTGGTTGTGAACTGAGTAGGATACAAAGGGTCATTTGAATAAATAATAGTATAGTGCTTAAAGGGCAAGGGTTCTAAAGTTGGGGTCCCTGGACTTGAATTCTGGCTCTGGTAAGTTCCTAAGCCAGTGACTTTTTTTATTTTTTTGAGACAGAGTCTCACTATGTCGTCCTCGGTCGAGAGCTATGGCGTCACAGCTCACAGCAACCTCCAACTCTTGGGCTTAAGCGATTCTCTTGCCTCAGCCTTCCAAGTAGCTGGGACTATAGGCATCCGCCACAACACCCAGCTATTTTTTGTTGCAGTTGTCATTGTAGTTTAAGTGGCTTGGACTGGGTTCGAACCCACCACCCTTGGTGTGCGTCGCTGGTGCCGAGCCAAGCAAGTGACTTTTAATCTCTCTGAGCCTCTATTTTCACATCTGTAAAAACATGGGATGAGGATATTATTGTCTACCTCCTGTTAACTGTTATTTTATAAAATGGGTTTTACTGTATTGCCCTCTGACTCACTGAGGGTGCTCTGTGTAGGGATCCAAATGGTCAGTAGTTACTTGACTTTAGTTCTGATTGGGGTGGGGGAAGGGTCTTTTCACATAAAATGATTATGTTTGCTGCTGTCAGAAAATGAAAACTAGAAATCATTACAAGTTATTCTTTAGTGATTAGAAATTTAATCCAATGTCTTGTTGCAGTTAGAAAAATTTGAGATGTGAAAGCACTTTTGTTAATAACGGAGAATGACATTTGGTAACACTAGAATTAAAAGTAAACAATGCAGAATTTTCACATTTTCTTTTTTTAAATGTTTTTCAGGGTTTGGAGAACATTGATTAAGGAAGCATATTCCTGATGGATGAAAAAATAACTCAGTAATGGTCATCTACCCCTACTAGAAGGTCATACAGCGTCTTATGTAGCATGCAGTATGTTATATAGTGCTTAATAACAATAAAATGAGAAAGAAAAAGGTATTTCTTTTTTTTAAATACATTACACAAGATCAAACAATCTATCCAGTGTAGCTTATCACTTAGAAAAACTAGATGACAACAGTAAGGCTTGTATAATTATAGATGCCGTGTACACCAAACACCTATCTCTGTGCCTAGCACTACTAGTTCCTTCATAAATTGTAGTTGCCACCATTGTAATAGATATTAATATATTTTAGAAAACATTGTTTCTTCAGGGATGGCTAGGAGAATACAGAAAAAATAGTTTTTTTAGTTGCTTTCTTTTGGAGGGGTGGATGCTGTAGTGTTTAAAACTTCAGTTGGGGGTGGTGGTACCTGTGGCTCAAAGGAATAGGGCGCTGGCCCCATATACTGGAGGTGGCGGGTTCAAACCCGGCCCCAGCGGGCGGCACCTGTGGCTTAGTGATTAGGGTGCTGGCCCCATATACCAAGGGTGGTGGGTTCAAACCCAGCCCTGGCCACACTGCAACCAAAAGATAGCTGGGCGTTGTGGTGGGCACCTGTAGTCCCAGC